ATACCTGCCTCTGGAAATTTCCATTACTTGCATCTGAAGAAGTGAGGTTCTTACCCACGAAAGCTTATGCTCCCAATACTTCTGTTAGTCTTAAAGGTGCCACAGGACCCTCTGTTGCTTTTTACAGGTTCAGACTAACACGGCTACCCCTCTGATACTAGAATCATTCAGGGGTGTTTTAACCTAAGGATGTAGACTTTCACAAAAGCTACAGCAGGTCTTCTTCTACAGTACATTACAGATAACAATCTAAAATGTTTTATTCATCAGATCTTATTAGGATCCTTAACTAATTAAAGCACTGAAGCATGATAGGGGTGTAGAGTAGTTGGTTAGGGGAAAAATAGCCCTGGGGGCATTAAAAGTCATTAAATAAAAAACAAAAGTCTCTGATCTTTGGGAGGGGAATATGATGTGCTTTAACGACCCTTTCTAGAATTTATTTACTCTGTCTACATAAAGTCCTAAAGTGGGAGAAGAGGGAACCAAGATATCTTTAAGCTGCAACTTTTATGATGTTGGGATCTGCTGTAGCCTGGTTTGATCAGCTGACAGGGCTCTCTAAGTTACATCAGCATGAATGATTCCCTTGAGACTCTTCCAGTGATCAGGATCACTAAAGGGTAGTGTGGCCTGGGCATGCCCAAGGCCCACCCCTTTCTCCAGGAGCCAAGAGCAGGTGAAATAAAGATAGCTTTATGACACCTACATATTCCCCTACATCAGAAGAGTACCCAGTTCCCCCATAAAGGGAGATTTCTAGCTCCAATACAAAGCAGTCAGGGCCAAACATCACACTAGAATGAATGGAGTTACACCAATTAACACCAGCTGGGAATCTTGCCCAATAATTGAATACCACGGCAAAATCTTGAGAGAAATATGTATGTAACTGAAACCATGAGTTCACCAACTTTCCTAAGGCAGACCCATCGTAAGAGGAAGACTGAGTCATGAATACCTGCCTTCCCATTCAATATTAGACAGACCACCTCCCCTCTTATTCATGATCAGGTAATATCCCTGTGCCAAGTACAGAAATTGCTTACATGAAAAAGAAATAATTGGAATTTGATTCATGTTTTTAATGCAATTTAACACCTGAAAAAGGAGGCGGAGCTAGCACCATGAGACCTACATACCACATTTTGGGAACATCTGATGTAAACTATTCAGTAAAGGAAAAGAAACTGAGGTCTATGATCAATAAATGTGTTCTTCATAGTTTGTTTGTGTTTTATTTTAAGTTTGCAATTCTTTGCATTTTATTTTATTTGCACTGAATTTAATTGTGGGATATGTGACATGCCTTCTGACATGTGGCACAAGTATATGTGACATGGACAGCCCAGAAAATAAGTTAGTGTTTTCACCCATCTCCCAGTGATGAGATGATAAAAAAAAATGCAGGTTTTCTAAGCACCTCTCCTCACTGGAGAAAATAATTTCTGAAATTTAAGAGCTTATTTTAAATGACTGAATTTATACAAATGAAGGATAAATCTCAAAAGTTTAAAGATTCAGGTCAGAAAAAAAAACATCCAAAAGGGGCCAGATCCTCAGGAATTGTGTTAACTCCACTGAACTCAACGTAATGACACCAGCTGAGGATCTGCCTCTGTATGGATATTCAAACTTTGGAGACCACGAGAGTCTATAATTGGGTTAGGAATCTCTTCATATGAGCCTGATTCATGGAATTGCAGAATTTCTCCTTTTGGGGCCCAGTCCTGTACTATGCATTCTCCACACCCTTTGGGTTGGGAGCTGAGGGTGCTGTGACAGGTTGGATCCCAGAAACCGCCTTGGGGCTGCCAACTGATGTGCCAAGGCTACTTCTGCCCCTGCTTTGGGGAGAAGCTTGGGACTTCAGCACCCTGTCTTGTTGAGCCAGACACACCAGTCTGCTCCAACACCGACCCCAGGTCTGAACCACATGCCCAAAGCTGCAGACTTAACTGAAAGCAACTTAAGAAGTGTTCCTGTCTTTAAAACTCAGATGCTAAACTCCCAATGGGGTGCAAACCCCAAATAAATCTGTTTTACCCTGTATAAAGCTTATACAGGGTGAACTCATAAATTATTTGCCCTCTATAACACTGATAGAGAGATATGCACAGCTGTTCCCCCCCCCCCCCCAGGTATTAATACATACTCTGGGTTAATTAATAAGTAAAAAGTGATTTTATTAAATACAGAAAGTAGGATTTTAGTGGTCCCAAGTAGTGACAGACAGAACAAAGTGAATTGCCAGGCAAAATAAAATAAAATATGCAAGTCTACGCCTAGTACAGTAATAAAACTGAATACAGATACAATCTCACCCTCAGAGATTTCAATAAATTTCTTTCACAGACTGGATGCCTTCCAAGTCTGGGCACAATCCTTTCCCCTGGTACAGCCCTTGTTCCAGCTCAGGTGGTAGCTAGGGGATTTCTCATGATAGCCATCCCCTTTGTTCTGTTCCACCAATTTATATATCTTTTGCATAAGGCGGGAATCCTTTGTCCCTCTGGGTTCCCACCCCTCCTTCTCAATGGAAAAGCACCAGGTTAAAGATGGATTCCAGTTCAGATGACATGATCACATGTCACTGTAAGACCCCAAGACTTCATTCCTCCCAGCCTGACTCACGGGAGGGCCTGCCTGCATACAGAGTCATCCACAGTCAATTCTCCTGGTTGATGGGAGCCATCAAGATTCCAAACCACCATTAATGGCCCACACTTTACATAATTACAATAGGCCCTCAGAGTTATATTTCATATTTGTAGTTTCAGATACAAGAGTGATACATTTATGCAAATAGGATGACCACACTCAGTAGATTACAAGCTTTGTAATGATACCTTACAAGAGACCTTTTGCGTGAAGCATATTTTAGTTACATTATATTCACACTCATCAGCATACTTACATAAAATCATGTAGCGTGCAACGTCACAGGTGCTCAATATACTGAAGACTGGGCCTTTGTTCCTGTTCAGCTCCTGGAAGTACTGAGCTGAACACTACTGAAAAATAAGAACACAAGGTTTTGGGGGATTTTTTATTTGTTTGTTTGAAACTTACAAACAAACAAACAAACAAACAAACAAAAAGGTTTGTCTGACTTTTTGACCAAGGTGGAAATTGGTTGTTTTACTCAAACCTGGAACCTCTAATCCAGATCTGAATTTTGCAGGGCTAAACCACAGTGCCTCATCCAATGCCTTTGATGTGTACAGTGTAGTTGTAGCTGTGTTGGTCCCAGCATATTAGATAGAGATGAGTTGGGTGAAGTCATATATTGTATTGGGCCAACTTCTGCTGGTGAGGGAGATATCCTGTGTGGCTTGAAAACTTGTCTCTCTCAGCAACAGACGTTAGTCCAATAAAATATATTACCTTACCCACCTTGTCTTTTGAATGCCACAAAGTTCACTCAGCTACTCCCTCTGTCCAGTAAATACATAAGTGCAACACACATACAGACAGACAGGACCTGGAGTGAGAACACAAGAGATGGCAGCTGCATTGAAAGATATCTCAACAAGTTAGTAAAAAGTTGAGGTGAAATGTCCGCTTCTTTTCTGTGCTCCTCAGTCCCTTCCCACCCAGAACATCTCACAATCAGCTAGTCTTTATTAGGACCAAACTCAAGTAACTTTTTCTCCTATGGCTTTTTCTGAAAACCTCAACTTCACTGGCTGTAGACTGAGCAGTTTTCTTTGTATCAGTTTAGAGAAAAATTACATTAAAACAGGAAGAAGGAAAATGATAATAGCTCTAAGTTGCACAACTTGACAAGAAGCCTACAGCAAGTTCACAGGCCCAGCTTCGGTAAAATATCATACTCCAGGGGGTGGGTGGGGTTAATATACAGCCCTGTCAGAAACAGGTTAGGAGGGTATCCTTGCTGAAATGTCCACTTGGAAACAAACATGTCGTCAACCAGAACATCTTTACTCCGATATAATGTGTGGATATAGGAAATATATATGACACATATCTTACTGACAGAAAAACAACTAAAGATACAGAAATCCGTTGATTCCTGCAGCATATGGACATACAACGACCATTAGAGGTGCTCATCAAATAATTAGCATACATTCAAATTAATGAGGCAGTCACCAGCTCACTTCATAGTTAGCACTGGCAAACATCATCATCAACAGAAAACTACATGAAGTAAGCACTCAGTTTGAAAGTTGATAAGCAGCTCTTGCTTTGTAGGAGTGGCCATTTCTATTTGAAATTAATGCCTTTAATTATAATTGTTTTTTTCTGAGTCTGCTGATGGTAACCAAAATGATGGCATAAGCACCTCATTTCTCCCAGGCTCAGTGGCTTCGCTGGTTTTATTTATGACATCATTATTGTAAACATATTTTTTAAAAAATCAATCATGGACATTTTGAATGTTTACTCCATATTATAATTAACTATTGCTACACCACCTGAATCAGAAGTTAAATATTCTTCTAAAGACTGGTGCCTACTCTTTTTTTTTTCTTTTTAGATTCTGGGGCAAACAGTTCTTTACAGACCCACTGGTAGATAAACAGTTCACTAGCAAGTTTCTGTTGCATAAAAAATTCTACGCAGACTCTATGGTGCTGCCCATAGAATTTACAGGGTTAACTGGCATAACCAGTAGAGCTGAACCAGAGATGTTACTTTCAATTGAAGGTTTGCAGAAAATCTCAGAAGGGGTTTACATTTTGGTAAAAATATAACTTGTTCAATTGGATATAAAAAGAGTGGTGATAATATCAAGACCATTTGGAATCCTTAGAATAGTGATTAGTTTCAAGAATAAAGCCTTAATTAAAAAGAAATTAATAATAGTTCAAATTAGAAAATTCAGTAATGGCAGCCATAGGGTGATGTGATTCCATTTCCTGTGGGGAATGACTAAGTAAAACTCCATAGAAATATATTGGAGCCCATAGGAACACAGAGGGCTTCCAGACAGGAAGTAGCTAGGGGTCATCCACACGTCAGTTGAGAGAAACCCCATAAGACTATATTGTAGCCCACAGAAATATATGGGGATCTCAGATAGGAAGTAGCTAGGGGTCCTTTACAGATCAGCTAAAAGAAGCCCCATAGGAATACATGGGAGTCTATAGGAATGTATGGGGATGATGCAATCGGGAGGTAGGATTGCATCTCTTTTGCGTGATGCAAAATCCCATAGAAATATATTGTAGCCCCATTGAAGTCTATGTAGTGGGCGGAGCTAAGAAAAATTGGAAGCTAATTGGCTGAGATTGGGAGAGCAAATTGTATATAAAGGTGACAACTAGCAGGCTAAACCCTGTAGCGGGATCGGGGACCTGGAAGAGAGAGGAGACTACAAGGCACCTGCAAGGAAGAAAACGCCTATGCGAAAAAAGCTACCCGAGAAGCATCAGCGGAACCCTGCGAAGTCGAGAGCTGCCTGAAAAGCAGCTATTGCAGCAGCAGCCCATCCAGAGTTCTGAGGTTGTCCCGGGCAATGGCTGCTTCTGCTATCCATTCAGCAGGAGGCCACCGCAGCAGCTACCAAGCGAGCTTCCGTCTCTCTCACCTAAGAAGCGTTTTACCTCAGCGGTAGCAGGCAGCTATTCCATGCCAGCAGCCACAGGCTCAGCGAGATCGCCCTTCCATCACACCCCAACACCAGACAGAGCAGAAGGACCTTTCAGGCGGTCTCAGAGGGAATTTTAAGAAGCTTTTTGTAAATGTAATTTCCTTTTGCTTAACATCCTAGAGCACATGGGTTTCAAGTGTAAATAAAGCTGGATGTCTGTGGTCTGAGTGAGATCTTCTCCTACCCATCTAGTAATTGCCTGGCCAGCACTTACTGGATGTTTAGCTTTAAGTATATAGTATTGAATGTTTAATTTATATATTGTTATATTAAGTAAATGATTACATCGTTATATGCTATAAAGTTAGTTGAAATTATTATTATAGTATTGCATCTTTATTTGCTGTGATGCTTCATTTCTTTATACTGTAACCCTTATTCTTTTACCAAAACTACTCACTTCTAAATATATATTATTTTTGTTTTCAAAGATTTACTGCCTACTTGTCTATTCTTGATTGGAGGGCTGTATCCGTATCCTTTCAAGGGAAAGCTAGCTAGCTGCGGCTTTTCCTGGCAACTCCTTTAGGGCAGGCCACAACCTTGGTTACAAATTTAAATAGTTATAAAGGAAAAGTTTTTAAATTAAAAGTAGTAATTTTAGGCAACATCATTGGTATAGGATTATTAAACCAAATCTTCTGGTAACAACATAAGGATGAATCATCAAAGGAGCCTTGCATCCCTATTCAAGGTCTTTGAGTCCACCACAAGTCCGAAAAACAACATCCATACCAAGTTTCTTGCTTGTATCTTAACTGGAACACTGTGACACAAAGATTCAGTGGCAAAGGGTCCCCGGTACTTTGCAAACAACTCTCATCTTGAACCCAACAAACTCACCACACCAAACACATGTTTTGTGGGATATTTATCCATAAAGAGGAACATGTATGATGTCTGCAATAAGCTTGTCAACATTTATAATCATTGTGAGATGTATGTAGGGGTAACAATTAAGGAATAATGTAACTATATTGAAAGTGTGCTTCACCTTGAAGTGAAAGTTAGTCACCAGGGGATAATGTGTCTCAGAGATGCTCTAATCTAGCAGGAGGGAGTTGTCACCCTTCCCTGCTTAACTGGTAATACAATGCAAGGCTCAATTGATCTATCCGAAGACTATCGATGTCCAAAGTGCTTAGATCTTAAGGCAGTTATTTAGAATGATAATATTTTGGCTAATCATCAGTTATATGTAAATGCCCAAAGTTAGTATGACCCAATTCATGTCTCTTCCTTGGTGATGTTGAAGTCTCCAAAAGTGTTCACCTACCACAGTGAAAGCAACACGGCTCAATGAGAGAAGCATCTCTGATCATAGCATTTAACCAAGACTGAATGGGTACTTTTGGTCTGGTAAAATTTGTATCCTTTAGCACTGCTCCTGGGTTCTTTTTTCCTTCGGGATGAACTGCTTGGAACACACATACAACCGTAGACTTCTTTGAAACAAGATTTATTAAAAACTGTGAAAATGGATTTAAAACAAAGAAAGAATTTGCCTAACATAGCTAGATTTGAATTCCCCATAAGCTAAACTAGTTAAGGCATATCTAGTGCAGTTACAGTAAAGCAACAACAAACTCATTAATGTGCCTAAAGACCAAATCATAGCTCTGACCACTTCTTTCAGAGTTCCAGCCCCATTCTGTGTCCACTGAGAGAGTCAGAGAGAGAGAGAGAGAGATTGTTTTTCAAGGCTTATGTATTACAGTCCATTACCATATTAGGCAAGATCACCTTTTTCACCAAAACTAGATCTATCGAATGCCCTGAGGTAGGTCAACTCCATCTCAATGGGAAATTTCCTATTTCCAAGCCTTAAGCACAACATTTCATGGGGTGTTCTCTGAGCATCTGCCCAACTTATTAAATTGATTACTTTTGCAGAGGCCTGCCCATTGCTCTTGGGGAAGGTAGTTTAAATCTGGATCTGTCAATTTTTTGTCTATAGCTAAAACTCTTCTCCCTCATATTCCTTAGTTATGAAATAATTTACTACCAGACCATTGTCTGTCTGTCGCAATTAGGTATAAATGATATTTGTACTTTTAGTTGTTCATGTGTCCAATTATTTGGGACTCAGAATAAGGAAGTGACCCTCCTCCCCATTAGTTTGGTATTAATGATTATTATGTAGCACATTTCTCAAACTGGGGTTTGCGGACTCCCTGGGGGTTTCTGAGGTCCACCGGCCCCACTGATCAACTCCTCCCCCTCCCTTCCAGTGCCTCCTGCATGCCATGGAATAATTGTTCCCCAGCGTGTAGGAGGCACTGCGAGGGAGGGGGAGGAGGCGGAAGGAAGCAGGGAAGCGGAGGTGCAGGGGTGGGGCGGGAAGAGGTGGGGTGGGGCCTTGGGGAAAGGGGTGGAGTGGGGACGGGGCCTGGA